ATACTGTCACCTGACCCCATTGTCACCTTTTCAAGGGATGTTAAATGGGAAACTAGCAGCAGCAGTCACAAGTGGCTCACTGGAGGGTAATTAGGAAGTTGCCACAAGTGACCCTACAGTGGTGCCTGAGTAGAAGGGGGCAGTGGCTAGTAGGGCATCCTCTACTTTGTCCCAGTCTAGGCACAGAATTCCAGGATTTCCCCTTTCAGATTGCTGTAGGTTGTTTATGATCATTTGTAATTTGTCAGTTGTAAAAGAGCCAAATAACTAGTAAGAATTTAAGTGATGACAGTTGTCTTATCAGCTGAATGTTATTTTTCTTTGGCCCCACTACCACTTAAAAGGAAAGGGGAACTTTCAGCATAGCTGTGTTCCTTTGGTCAGCTGCTACTATAAAGAGGAAATTGCAAAGTTTTCTTCAATCTCCATCCCTCTTCTTTATGAATTTCTTTTTAAATTTTTACTAAAAACCTAGTGCAGTTTTAAGATTGTTATCAATTCTAGGGCTTGGGTGGGGAACCTTTAACCTTGAGGCCTCTTGAGGCCCTCTAGGTCCTCAAATGTGGCCCTTTGCCTGAATCCAAACTTTGCAGAATAAAACCTTTTATTAAGGGGATTTGTTCTGTGAAGCTTCAAGGCCACAGATTCCCCACCCCTCTATCTAAGAGCTTTAGAAACTTTCCTGATTGGTTTGTTACTAAGGTTTTCTCATTCAAGAGCTTACCTTTGCTTGGAGAAAATTTGGCTCAGAAATGAGAGCTTCCAGGTCTCCTCCACAGTGGAGCGATTCTTAGAGAGGGTATGCTAAGATGGAGGTCCTGGTTGCTAAGTGTTTTGACAAAAACTGAGACACAAGGTACCAAGCACGATCAGTTTATTAGTGAGGCTAGCAATTGCCAACAATGGCTATTCATGTCTCTTGAGTTTAGTTTTCATCCCCAAACCCAACAGTTTGGTAAAGGAGACACTAGAAAATACTGGGGAAAATAACCCTTAAAAAACAGACTCGGCTAAATAGCGAAAGAGGCACAAAAATCCACTGAAGAGAAAAATGCCTTAAATTAGCAGAATTGGCCAAATGGAAAAGTAGGTGTAAAAATTCACTGAAGAAAGGATCTCATTATAAAGCAGAAATGACCAAATGGAAAAGGAGGTATGAAATCTCACTGAAGAAAACAATTCCTAAAAAATTAGAATTGGGCAGATGAAGACTAATGACTCCATAAGATAGCAAGAAACAATGAAGCAAAATCAAAAGAATGAAAAAAATAGAAGAATTGTGAAATGTGTCGTTGGAAAAACAACTGACCTGGAATACAGATCCAAGAAAAATAATTGAAGGATTATTGTACTATCTGAAAGCCATGTCAAAAAGAGCTTAGACGTCATCTTTCTAGAAATTATCAAGGAAAACCGCCCTGATATTTCTAGAACCAGAGGGTGAAATAGAAAGTGAAAGAATCTACTAATCAGCTCCTGAAGGAGATCACAAAATGAAAACTCCTGGGAATACGATAGCCAAATTGCAGAGCTCCCATTTCAAGGAGAAAATAGTGCAAGCAGCCAAAAAGAAACAATTCAGATATCATGGAGCCACAGTCAGGATAACACAAGATTTAGGATTAGAGGGCTTGGAATATGCTATTCTGGAGGACAAAGAGCTGGGATTACAACCAAGAATCACCTACTGAGCAAAACTGAATGTAATCCTTCAGTGGGGAAAATGGATATCCAACGAAGTAAAGGACTTTAAAGCTGACCTGCTGAAAAGACCAATGCTGAATACAATAAAATGGACTTTCCAATACAAGACTTAAGAGAAACCTAAAAAGGTTAACATGGAAGAGAAAATGTAAGGGATTCAGTAAGGTTAAACTCTTCACATTCCTCATGGGAAGATGAACCTGTAACCCCTAGGAACTTTCTCATTATTGAGGCAGTGAAAAGGAATTTACGTGGACAGAAGACACAGCTGTGAGTTGGACATGATGGCATGATATCCTGGATTTGTCTTGGCAGGTTGACTCCCAAGTATTTGGTATTGTCTACAGTTATTTTAAATGGGATTTCTCTTTCTATTCCTTGCTGAGGACTCTATTGTTAACACAGAGACATACTGGATTTATGTGGGTTTATTTTATTTCCTGCAACTTTGCTAAAGTTGTTAATTACTTCAACTAGTTTTTTCTTGATTCCCTAGGATTCTCTATGTGTATCATATTGTCTGCAAAGAGCAACAGTTTTGTTTACTTGTTGCCTATTCTAATTCCTTCAATTTCTTTTTTTCTCGTTGCTAGAGCTAGTATTTCTAGTACAACATTGAATAATTGCTCCTGATTTTATTGGGAAGGCTTCTAGCTTATCTCCATTACAGATAATGCTTCCTGATGGTTTTAGATAAATACTACTTATCATCTTAAGGTAAACTCCATTCCTATGGCTCTCCAAGAATGAATGCTGTATTTTGTCAAAAGCTTTTTCTCTGTCTATTGATGTTGATTTTCTTACTGCTATGGTCAGTTATGCTAATAGTTTTCTTAATATTGAACCAGCCCTGAATTCTTGGTACAAGTCTCACCTGGTCATAGTGTATGATCCTTGTGATATATTGCTATAAACTCCTTGCTAGTGTTTTATTTAAAATTCTTGCGTCAATATTCCTTAGGGGAATTGGTCTGTAGTTTTCTTTCTCTGTTTTGACTCTTCCTGGTTTAGGTAGCAGCACCATATGTGATTTGTAAAAGGGAATTTGGTAGGACTCCTTTGCCTATTTTCCCAAATAGTTTATATAGTATTGGAATTATTTGTTCTTTAAATATTTGGTAGAATTCACTTGTGAATCCTTCTGGTCCTAAGAATTTTTTCTTAAGGAGTTCATTGATGGCTTGTTTAACTTCTTTTTCTAAGAAGAGGTTATTTATTCTATTTCCTCTTCTGTTCATCTAGACTATTTATATTTTTGTAAACATTCATGTTTCATTTAGATTTCCAGATTTATTGGCCTATAATTGGGCAAAATAACTCCTAATAATTTTTTAAATTTCCTCTTTATATTGGTGGTAAATTCACCGCATTCAATTTTTATACTGGCAATTTAGTTTTCTTTTTTCCGTCTTAAAATCCAATTAGCCAGATGCTGAGTGAAGTGAGCAGAACCAGGAGAACGTTGTACACAGTAACAACCACATTGTAGCATGACTAACTTTGATAGACTTAGCTGTTCTCGGCAATGCAAGGATCTAAAGACATCTCCAAAAGCCTCATGATGGAAAATGCTCTTCACGTCCAGAGAAAGAACCATGGAGTTTGAATGCAGATCAAAGCCTACTATTTGTTCTTTTTTTTTTCCTTCTGTTTTGTTTTGTTTCTTCTTTCTTGTGGTTCCTCCTGTTGGTTCTTATTCTTCTTTACAACATGCTTAATGTAAGAATTAAAAAAAATAAATAAAATCAAACTAACTGATGGTTTATTTTACTGGCTTTTTCATAAAGCCAGCCTCTAGTTTTATTAATTCAATGGTTTTCTTCCTTTAAATTTTATTTACTTCCTTTTATTTTCAAGATTTCCAATTTAGTGTTTAATTGGGGATTTTTACTTTTTTCCTAGTGGTTTTTTAGTTGTATTTCTGATTCGTTAATCTACTCTTCTTCTGTTTTGTTGATGTAAGCATTTAAAGCTATGAATTTCCCTCCAAGTACTACTTTCTTCACTGAGCTTTTGTACCTCCTTTTCCATTTGACCAATTCTATTTTTAAGGAGTTATTTTCTTTGCATTTTTGTATATCTTTTTCCATTTGTGTGTTTCTTTTACCTAGCTGTTGACTCTTTTTTTCATAATTCTCTTGCATTACTCTCATTTCTTTTCCCAGCTTTTCTTCTACTTCTCTTGTTTGTGTTTGTTTTGTTTTTTTTTTAACCCTTTTTAAGCTCTTCCAGAAGTTCTTTTTGGGCTTTAGACCTATTTACATTTTTCTGTAAGGCTTCATGTGTTGCCGTTTTGACACTGCTTGTCCTCTGCTAAATTTGTGCCTTGATCCTCCCTGTCTCCATAATAATTTTCTGTAGTCACGTTCTTTTTTTGCTTTTTTTAGCTCATTTTTCTATTTTATGACTTTGTGCTTTTGTGTCATAGTTGGGCTCTAGTCCTGCAATGTCCCAAGCTTCTTGTGCTGGGGCTCGGGGCCTTATTGGTGCCTTTAACTGGGCTTCAGGGCCTGCCCTCCCACCTCAGTGAGACCAACCTTTCCTGCTGTGTTATTAAGGTTTTAATCAGGCAGTTTACCTTTTTTATAAGGTAAATTGCCTTTAATAAGGTAAACTTCACTGCTCCTAAATTGGTTCTGAGTCTTTTTTAACATTGTTTTTAGGGGAATTCAGGAAGGCTTTAGGGAGTTCCTTCACTTGCCATTTTGGCGGTGGAATTCCCTTAATAGTTGTTTTTACTTGGAGTTGGGGGAAAATAAAATATTAAATGCTTTATTTGTTTTAAAGAGAAGAAAGTGACTACTCTAAGTGGTGAAGAGATTATGCTGATTGCTCAAAGGATCTGAGAATGGTTAGCCTGCAAGGAAAGACTTAGGACCACATGATAGCTATGTTTCACTATTTCACTTTCATTGTTTTATTGCAGCAAGTAGAAAAGGCTGAAGCATACTACTACTTGAGCTCAGAGGGTGGAAATAGGTGCCACAGGTGCAGGTTGTAAAATTGATATCATTGGAACCACTAAAAACAGTAAGCATTAATTAAGCACTTACTATGTGCCAGGCACTGTGTGTTAGTGCTGAGGATAACAAGAAAGGCAAAAATAGGCCATGCCCTCCAGGAGCTTACAATCTAACAGGAGAGGAATTTTTAAATGCCTGCTATATCCCAGGCTCCATACTGTGTTTCACATAAATGAATGAAATAATCCATAATGGCAAAGACTTTACATTCAAACATCATAACAATCAGAGTTATATTATACTTGGGTGATCCAAACATTTTTGGTGTTGCAGGAATCAGTGACGTTCAAAGATGTGGCTGTGGAATTCTCTCTGGAGGAGTGGGTACATTTGAATCCATCTCAGAAAAAGTTGTACAGGGATGTGATGCTGGAGAACTATAGGAACTTGGTCTCTTTGGGTAAGGACAGCTACTCCTTTGGAGTCTTAATATATACTGTGGAGACTTTCAAGATTTTAACAGTTATTCTTTGGCATACAAAAGGAAGATATTTCTCATCCTTTTGTAGCCAAGAGGTAGCGTATTTGTGATATCTGTTCTGAGGGAAAATGTCTTTGCATAGTATGAATGCAAACTGAGTTCTTGGTTTGCTGTTGTCCTAGATCCTTTGTGTTGTTTCAAAACCAAGATTTTCTGTATAATCTTAGTGGAGATATCATCATACACAAAGTGTTCCCATTGTCTAAGCAGAGAATGTGTCAAATGAACTATTTTTCCAAAGTTCTACTCTGTAACCTATTCCGACACAATATAGATTATCCATAAGTGGTCATTTGTACCATCCTTGAGGTCTTGCTAGCATGTCTACTCCCCCCCCCCACAAAAAAAGAGCTTAAGCTAGTTTAGGATTCTTTTATTAAATTTTATGCGTGTTTTACTTGATGTCCCCTCCACCTAAAAAAACACCCTATTTCTCTCCTTGACCAGCCTATTGGTTAAAAAAGAAAAAAAAATTTTCAGACAAAATCAGCTAATATAACCAGTGCCCTTGATGATTTAGATACATTCTGCACCCTCATTCTCACACCTTTCTACTGAGAGTGAGGTGGATTATTTAAATCATTTTTTTTTTATAGAATTCTTAAATTACCATCCCTAGCATTTTTTCCTTTTCAATGAACAGGATTTGCAGTTTCCAAGCCAGATGTGATCCACCAAATGGAAAGAAAGGAAGCATCTTGGATGCCAGAGACAGATGTCCCAAGAAGCAGCTGTCCAGGTGACTACATAAAAACCAAGCAAATGAATCATTGTAAAGTACAGCTCTGTTGATCATTTTAGGTTAGAGTTCTTAGAAAATGTTAAAACACGGTGATCTTATTATAGCTTCTTGTCCTGTTGAAAAGAGCTGAGGGTTTTTTTTTTTTAAAAAGAATTTACTGTTTTATGCATTTCTTTACTCACATGTACTGTCAGTGTCAAAGAAAGTTGTTTCCTAAATACAGGGGAGGTATTCTCTTCTGTTCTTTGTTTTTTTGTTTTTGTTTTTGTTTTGTTTTGTTTTTTGCTTTTTGGTGAGGCGATCAGAGTTAAGTGACTTGCCCAGGATCACGCAGCTAGTAAGTGTTAAGTGTCTGAGGCTGGATTTGAATTCAGGTCTTCCTGACTCCAAGGCCAGAGCTCTATTCACTGCACCACCTAGCTGCCCCCTTTTCTGTTCTTTGAAGATTATCTTAACTTATGGAGGCATTCTTCGTCTTCCTTTCCATCAGTTCATTCTCCCTTTTAAAATAAGTGCATTACTTAAAATATTAATACGGCCTTTTTTCTTCTGAGTCTCCTGATATTTTCTTTTTTCTTTTTTTATGATTATGTTGCTCTGCTGCTGTTACTTTTTAAAGCGTTTAATCATAAGCTAATTCCCCTTTCTTCAATCTGTAATTTTATATATCATCCTGTTTTTCTTTGTGCTTTGAAATTTATGTTTATAATGGCACAATGATACATTCATATGACACAATTTGTTTATCCATAACTCTGTCATTAAACCTATAGGTTTTTAGGATTGCGCTGTCTCACAGACAGTTGCTGTGAATATTTTTGAGAGAATTCTGTTTGCTTTCAGTAAAATTTTGAGGATGTAGACTTAGTAGTGGGATCATTGAATCAATGGATATGAACAGGTGTAGTACTAGCTTAAATTGCTATGTTACTTGTCAGAGAAATGATAACAGCAGCTGAACAAGTACTTATTTCAGCATAATTGCCAAAGTTTATTATCATTTTAAGCTATCTTTACTAATCTGATGACTATTTGTTGATATATCCAGCTTGTTTCAAATTGACTTCTTTGGTTACCTGAGTTTGAATAATGTTTCAGGTAACTATTAATTTCTCTAATGAGAACTACCTGTATGTCTTGATCATTTTCATTTTTGAAATTGGATCTTACTCTTATAAATTTGAATCGGCCCCTTACCAAGTAGATGTATTGGACTTTTAGCAGAAATTTATGACAACATTTGTCTGATATGATGCCCTTTTTTCTCATATTTCTTTATTCTGCTAACTAGATGTCTCTTCCTATCTCTCCTCAATCTAAATTAGTTGATTCTCCTTATTCTTTTTTTTTTTTTAAGTAAGGCAATTGGGGTTAAGTGACTTGCCCAAAGTCACACACCTAGTAAGTGTCATGTGTCTGAGGCTGGATTTCAACTCAGGTCCTCCTGACTCCAGGGCCGGTGCTCTATCCACTGCACCACCTCGCTGTCCCCTCCTTATTTTTTCTGTTCTGTGTTTTCCCTTCCTGTTTTCACCTTAGATGATAAGGATCTATTTGCAAGCTTTAAAAGGTCTATAATTTTTGTGGATAGTCTTTCATTTTCTTATTCCATTCAAATATCATCTATTTAGAGTAGAGTAAGGGCTTATTCATCCTTCCAGGTAATTTCATCCTAGGTTAATTCATTTGTATATATTAACTATGCGTCATTATATTTTCACATAAGATAAAGTGTGATCCTTATTGATAGCCCACTGAGACTGACCCTCTCAGGTGAGAGTGGTAAAGAATAGCTCTAAAACCTTTGAGCAACTATAAACCTTGGGAAAGGGAAAGAAGGCAGGGTTAATCAACCCTTTGTTCTTCCTTTCAGACAGCAAAGAATTTACTAGAGAAAAACCTTATGAATGTAAGGAATGTGGAAAGGCCTTCCACTTTAACTCAGAACGTGATCGACATCAGAGAATTCATACTGGAGAGAAACCTTATGAGTGCAATGAATGTGGGAAAGCCTTCCGCCTTACCGTACAACTTACTCTACATAAAAGAATTCATACTGGAATGAAACCTTATGAATGTAGTGAATGTGGGAAGATCTTAAGTAGCAAAACATCACTTAAGGCACATAATAAAATTCATACTGGAGAGATGCCTTATAAATGTAAGGAGTGTGGGAAGGCCTTCAGA